GGGGAGAGAGTCATGAGAGAGCATCAATATGTTGTTTAACAACCAACATCTGTACATTAAATTTAGTTATATTAAAAGGCATCCATTAATGAAGGCTTGGGACTAGACCATTATTTGTGGGTCAGATAATCACAAGAAATGTTCCTTTTACTGCTATACTTCCACAGGGAAACTGTGGTTGTTTTTTTTTAACAGCTTTATTAAGATATAATTCACAAACTACAAAAGTCACCCATTTAAAGGGTACAATTCAGTGTTTTTTAGTGTATTCACAGAGTTGTGTAACTATCACTACAATTAATTTTTAGAACATTTTGTCACTCCCAAAAGGAAACCCTATACTTCTAGCCGTCCCTACATTCCCCACTCCCATCTCCCAGTCCTAGGCAACCACTAATCTACTTTCTGTCTATAGATTTGCCTGTTCTGGACATTTCTTATAAATGAAATCATACAGTATTGTTTTGTGACTGGCTTCTTTCACTTAGCATGTTTTCAAGGTTCATATATTGTAGCGTGTATCAGTACTCTTTCTTTTTTGTGGCCAAATAATATTCCATTGTAGGACAGGCCACATTTCATTTATCACATATTTGGTAGGCTCTTGGGTTGTTTTCACCTTTTGACTATTATGAACAATGCTGCTGTGAACATTACCATACAAGTTATTTTATGGATGTATGTTTTCATTTCTCTTGGGTTAGCTACCTAGGAGTGGAGTTGCTGGGTCCTTAGTAACTCCATGCTTATTAACATTTTGAGGAGCTCCCAAACTGTTTTTGAAAGCAGCTGCACCATTTTACATGGTCCACCAGCATTGTGTACGGGTTCTAATTTTTCCACATCCTTGTTATTACTTGTCTTTTTTATTACAGCCATTCTAGTAGTGGGTGTGGAAGTGGTATTGCATTTTGGTTTCAATTTTCATTTTCCTAAAGACCAATAATGTTGAGTATTTCATGTGCTTATTGGCCATTTTATAGCTGCTTTGGAGAAATGTTGCTCCAACATTCTTTGCAACTGGATTATTAATTGTAAGAGTTCTTTATGTATTCCAGAAACAAGTCACTTCTGAGATACATGATTTGCAAATACTTCTTCCCATTGTGTGGGTTGTCCTTTCACTTTCTTGATGGTATCGTTCACAACATAGACATTTTTATTTATTTTTTTTGTCCTTATGCTTTTGGTATAGTATCTAAGAAACCCCATAAAGATTACAAAGATCTACTTCTGTTTTCTTGTGAGTTTTACAGTTTTTTTTGTATTTAGGCCTATGATCCATTCTGAGTTAATTTTTTGTATGCTGTGTAAGGGGAGAGAGAGTTCCAACTTTATTTTTTTGCATGTGGTTAATGAGTTGTTTCAGCACCATATTTTGAAAAAATCATTCTTTCCCTATTTAATTATATTGGCACCCTTATACTATTGATTTTTATATATTACAGCTTTGCAAAATTTTGGTACAGAATTTCTTGGGGCAAGTTGAAATTTATCTGAAAGAACTGTGCATATGCACAAGTTTCATGATTTTGAAATACCTACAAAATGTGTACTATCTTCAATCCTTTGTCAGATGTGTCAGTTTAATCAAGTTTTATGTAAGGTAAAAAGGCTGGTGCTCTTTCTAAACAGAAATAACACATATTTTAATACAAAAGAATTATTACTTACCCACCAATAAACTGAACAGTTATTCTATTGTTGGAGAATTGCTCCAAAAATGCTTATATTTTAATGAATACCTTATTTGAACCTTTCATTTACATCAGAAAAATTAGTTTTATCCTAATTCACTTGTAGGTCTGTGGGATTACTTTTTTTTGTCTATTGACTATAAAATTAATGTTGGATAAAATGAACTAATACCAACAAAGATTAGCGGTTAGGAAGTGGAGACAGAAAAGGGGAAAGGAAAGAAACTAGAAGAGTTATTTACCCTACCCTCACTTCCTTTATATATAAACCTGGATTTAAATAATTTCCTATTTTACATTTTAAGCTTTTGTTGAATTCATTTCACATTTAGAGAAAAGAGAATGAAGCTGCTCTTTTCCCCTCTTTATCGTTTCAAGAACATTCTGAATGACCTGTCCCAAGAAAAAGGTCCTTTTTCAGAACTTTTGCCTTCCTGGGCCAACATAATTGACAACAGATATGTAAAACCAGAGACATTCATTATCCCTGGGATGGTAGGATCCAGGAAGAATCCGTCTTTGCCCTTAGGGGACACTTGCCTATGTGTGTGGTATATTCTGTCAGACACAGAATAGATTTTCCAGACTATGCCTATCTTTCTGTTAACTTGAAGGGTCTAATTTTGAGACTAACTTTTCTTCCAAAAATTCTCCATCTGTTGTGACATTTTATTTAATAATCTTCTTAGAATGTACTCCTTCCTGAGGAGATGAAGACTTTAATAGAGGACATATAATGATTTGGAAACAGAAAAAAAAAATAATGTGTTAATTGGTGATTTACTTACACTTGTAGAACCACTATGTCGTATTCCCAGTTCCTGATTTTTTTGTTTGTCTTTTTCTTTACAGCCAAGTATCCAGAGATAAAATCCTTGATGAAACCTGATCCCAACTTGATATGGATTGTCATTATGATGGTTCTCACGCAGTTGCTTGCGTTTTACTTAGTCAAGGACTTGGACTGGAAGTGGGTCATATTTTGGGCATATGCCTTTGGCAGCTGTATTAACCATTCAATGACTCTGGCCATTCATGAAGTTTCCCACAATAGTGCCTTTGGCCACTGCAAAGCCATGTGGAATCGCTGGTTCGGGATGTTTGCTAATCTTCCTATTGGTGTTCCGTATTCAATCTCCTTTAAGAGGTATCATATGGACCACCATCGGTACCTCGGAGGCGATGGTATCGATGTGGATATTCCAACCGATTTTGAAGGCTGGTTCTTCTGTACCACGTTCAGAAAGTTTATATGGGTTATTCTTCAGCCTCTCTTTTATGCGTTTCGCCCTCTGTTCATTAACCCCAAACCAATTACTTACCTGGAAATGATCAATACTGTGGTCCAGCTGATGTTTGATGTTGTAATTTACTATGTTTTTGGAGTTAAATCTTTAGTCTACATGTTGGCAGCGTCCTTACTTGGTCTAGGTTTGCACCCGATTTCTGGACATTTTATAGCTGAACATTACATGTTCTTGAAGGGACATGAAACATACTCATATTATGGACCTCTGAATTGGCTTACCTTCAATGTGGGGTACCATAATGAGCACCACGACTTCCCCAACATTCCCGGAAAAAACCTTCCTCTGGTAAGTCAAGGATTTGATACATACTGTAATTTCTGATGCTTCTGATGATCAAAGTTAATCTCGACTTGCTCATTTTATTTATTTATTTATTTTTAAAGATTTTTATTGGGGAATTGGGGGAAGGGGAACAGA